TATCTGTCTGGTGGGCACTCTTTGATCAGCTCTTATCCTGTAAGTTTTAGCAGACCTGCCTTGCTTTACAAAGCAAGTCCAAACCTTAGGTCTGAGAATCGCGGCGCCACTGTGGGATGCAGCTGCTACTGTCTTTCAGAGATGCCCTCCTGAGGTGAAATAGCTTTCGATATGCAAACTAACATGTTCACATATTCTTTCAGGGCAAAGCCCTGCAAAACTCCTGAGACGTTTCTGTCTCCAATATATTTATATTAATTTATGGAGCAACAGAAATGGGATTAAATTGACCTTGGATTATACAGAGAAGTCTTTAGAAAGATCGTGAGGTTTAAGGTAGATGTTGCAAAATGAGTAAGCATACATCAGGTGGACTAGGTGGGCATTTGGGAGGATGAAGGGCATCCAGGCAGAAGAAATCCCCTGTGCAGGAGGATGAAGCATGGTGATCAATTTGGGGAACTGAATGGAGTGGAGTGGAGGGATGATTGGAGTAAGGGGAGAAGAAAGCTGTAGGATATGAAACTGGAACTGTAGGCAAAGTGCTCTAAAAAGATAAAATGGAACTCATTCCAAGGAGAGCAATTAAAAGGGTGAGTGAACTTGAAATGTACAAAAAGGTTATTTAATTTTCAGAGAAGACTCTGGGGGAAGAAACTTCCAAATAGTTGAAAGATTTCAGGTGAGAGAGCGAGTAAAATGAGCATTGAATAAAAGTAGATTTCATGGACCATAGTGAGACTGAAAGTTTCTTGCCTAGCATATGTAAATCACAGATGAAGGTAAAATTGAGAGTTTGAAAAGTAGTGAATTCCATGTGACTACTGGTGTTCAGGCATAGGTTGAATGGCCCTTTGTGTATATTGTTTGTGCAAGGAGTGCAACAGTGGAAGGGTTTTTGAAGGAGAGCAATCGTAGGACCCCTTAAACTCTGAGCTTCTATGATTCTTTGAACTGAACATTGGTATAGTGTTTTTTGTCTCATCCTAAACACATATGTATTTATTTACCAAATGATTTCTCAACTTCCTTTTTTAGGAGAGCACCAACAGCCACATTTTCCTGGCCTCACCAGAGGATTAGTAGCTGTTCTTTTATACTGGGATGGAAAGCGGTGCATTGCCAATTCCCTGAAAGTCTTGGTACAGTCTAGACGAGGAAAGACATGGACCCTAGAACTGAGGTCTGTTTGCTTCTTGGGATTTCAGGGGTTAAGTTGAAATTACAGAGTTACAATTTTAGAAATAACAAAAATATCCTCTTAGTATTCTATAATTTAAGTAAAATATGTAACATGAGCTGAGCAATTTACTCCCTTTTTCTGTCAAGAATGATGTAACAGTTTAAACCTGTTTTATTTTGTTTACAAATAAAAAATAATTCAGTTATTTATGGTTAGAAGTTTATTGAAGCCTGATGATCTAGAAAAGGTGAGAAGAGGTTACAATGAATCCTGCTTGTTTTTAATAATGCAATATTATTGTCAAAAGAGTGTTTGCTGTATCTGTTATTATAAGAAGTAGAAGCAATATTGTTTAATATAGCTTTGTTTATTGATTTCTTTTCATTACAGTCCAGAGCTGGTGTCCATGATAACACGCTTTACAGATGAGCTGATGGAGCAAGGATTGACTTACAAAGTCCTTACACTGGTGTCACAGATTGATGTGAATAATGAGTTTGAGAAACTACAGCGAGAGAGAGGTTTGGGCAGAGAAAAACATCGCAAAGAGGCAAGAGTTCAATGAAATCAATTCATGAGTTGTCTGTGTCAAATCTCACAGGCAGAAACATCATGACAATTAGAATATTCTTTTAATATAGTCAAAGGAAGATTAGTGATGTATTTTTTTGTTATGCTTTTTCTTACACTGGGTTTTTATTTTATTTTTCCAGGAAGAATTATGTAGCTGA